GAAGAATTCATTAAAGTAGGAAAATCAATTAATAAATAATGGAAGCTTGTGGCTTCGGATTTCTTAGCAAGTAATATTATCATTTAGTCATTAATTAAGAGTTCATTTATATAAAAAATTTTGATTATTATTTATGATTTCATATCAATGGAACAGTCGAAACTTCATGAACACTGAGTAGTTTAAAAGTTAAGAAAATCTAATTATTTTTTTACAATGCTTTAAATGGAGTGAAAACTAGATTATCGGAACTTTAGTTTAAAAAACTTTCCATTAACTTACTTCAGGATAGTTGAATACGTAGTTAATTCCAACGAAACATTAACTTTCGTACTAAATCTGATGATGTTTCTATTGAGGATCAAAGAAGAAGCAATCGATTTTTTTAAATACATTAACCGAGATTACTTCTTGACACTAAAACTCGTAAATATTCGTTTTTAGAGTAATAATAAAATATCGAATTTATAAAAAATAAAATAAATAAATGTGAAATCATTGAAATAAATTCTTCGTCATAAACTACACGAGAATTTTGAAGTTATTATTGATAATTGAATAGAGAACATTAAGTCAGCAGTAAGCTATCGGAATCTTTAATGAACACTGATTCGCCAGGAAATTTCGGAATATTAACTATTCGTAGACTCGATACATTTATATGCCAGACATTGAAGTAATTATCTTTACGTTATATCATTAGGAAAATGCTCGTTCTAAACTACGAATATAAACTAAAAAAAATTCGTTTACTGCAGCCATTCTCATTACTAATTCACATAGTAACGCCTGTACTAAATCATTTCTTATACTTGTTGCGTTGTTTTTTTCTTTATTTTTCTCCTTAATTTAAGAGAAAAAAGGATACGATTATAGTTTAAGAAATGTAAATATAAATTAACAAAAGAAATATCTCATTTTCTCTTCAACAAAATTCATTTAGGTTTGATTTTACGTGTCTATGCACTTACCTTTCTTTAATCCCTTTTGTTTCTATGTAAATTAATTACTTAATTTTTTTCTTAATAAAAATAAAATAAAATTCATTAACTTCTATTAATTCGAAATCTGCTTTGGGGAATGTGTCGTTCAGATAACAAGGTAAAGGAAATACTACAGAACTTACCATAATCTATTTTTTTCTTACCTCATTCTATCGTTAAGTCGAAACACTATCTCTGTCAACATTGATGGCTACAGTTGCAATATTGAAGCGAACGATTTTAATTTAATTTCTTATATCGGTATGAAAACAAGATCAAATACTGTTATGACAATATTTGGAATTCAGTACTAAGCATACATACCGAGAACCATATCCAACATCAATATATTCTTTCAACAGTGTACAGTACATATAAGAACTAAATCAAAACAAATTTTATTGAGATTTGAAGATACTTGGATTTTACAAACAACATAAAATTTAGGCTCGTAAAATTACCTCATTTGACACGTTTAAAATTTAAATTATTACATGCCTTAAATATAATATAAAAGTGTCTTTTTTAAAAGTTTTTATTAACTAGTTATTTCATAAAAATAGTTAATAAATGTAGAAAAATCTACGTAAAATATTAATGTTAAAATATATTTAAATCTAGTTTCTTAAACACACACAAATATTAGTTTTGATTAACTTTCTGATATGAAAGTGAATTAAAAAAAAAATAAATATTTTTTTCCCTTTCATGGCATATATGTAACAGAGAGTAAAAAATTCTTTTAACTCAGATATAGATCGGTTATACAAATGTGACAAACTTTCAAGAGATCATATCACTCAAAGCCACAAAACATGGAAATATCAATGCGTACTTGCATCGATTTTAAACAGTGTTGTCTCCTTCTTGTCCCTCCTCTCCGCTTCTTCTCCCGAATGCTTTTCGTCACCTTCAATACTCTTTGATCAACTTCCTCAAAAGATCCCAACGGCATCTTCTCTTGGGAAATTCCTCGAGATTTAATACATTTTATCTCCAAAAGAATTGTATTAGTTTGTTTATGGTATTAGTGCTTTCAACTTAAGATTATTTCTTATTCCTTTCATCACTCCTATCTTTAACTATTCTTTCACCCGTTCTTGCGGACGGGTCTATCTACATACGTACCATTAAAATAAATCAAAGGATATTTTACTGTGGTAGAAACGATAATAAATAATCTACAGAATTTTACTCATTATTCATTATCTCTAAGTGAATCTCAGCAAGAAATCTGATAAAAGAGAGAGCAAGAAAATAACTGAATCGAAAGTAGGTGACAGTTCTCTGGAAACGGTGTCACAAGATTTTTTTCAATTTTTCAATTTTATTTATTTAAACTGTCAGATAGTAAATCGAAGAATTTTATGTTTTATTTCATTACTTACTCCCTTACAGGATGGAAAAATATACTTTATGCAAAAATAAAGCATTTATTATACCAGAAAATCGAAAGAGATCGAATTTTGTTCGTGTTTTGAATAGACGAGTATAAGACAATCGCTTAGAAAAAGAAATTCTAAGCCGAAATAAATGTTGATAAATTTTGAAATATGTCGAATACAAAACAATATACAGTGTATGGGGGTTTACAAAAACAGAAAAAAATAAAACAAACTATGATCATCTATCAATTTTTGCAATCTATAATAGAAAAGTCCGATGATTGTTCATCGAGACGTATCTTCTTTCCAATAATAAATCATATTGTTCGGTAGAATAGGAGAAACATCATTATTGATGGGTCGGGTGAGAGGAAGAAAATCAAACAAATTTAATGACCTATTCAATCTCGTATAACATAATGTCAATAAAGGTCAGTAAATGAACGTCAAAACAATGTATAAATGGCCTAAGCTAACAATACCTAACAAATAAGGCATTTATCACTACTAATCCTGATAAATTAAGTTAAAAATAGTAGTATATAATTGACAGGGCGCCTTGTATTTTGTAATAAATGAACACGAGAAAAAACTGCAACTTATTTAAATTTAAAAGTTTTCCAAAGGAAATATATATATTAAAATCATCCCTTCAGAAAATGAATCACCACTTTTTTCTGTTAAAAAAAAGAGGTGTCCGATTTGAAACTATAAGAAAAATATGTCAAGAAAAGATAAAGTGGAAGCTTATCCAAGATATAAACTATCCTTCTGTTAACAGATACCTTGTTCTCTAGGGAAGATTTCATCTGGCATCTTTTAATAACGTCCACAAATATCAACGAATAAAATACGTCAATAAAACTAATTTATTTTTTTTTCCTTTGTAAATCTCTACCATGGAATTAATCAAACATCTCTGTAACACTTTGACTTTTACATATTTGTTAAGTTTCAGTTACAAGATATCGCAGATATGATTATTTATTATTATTACCATATTTTTTTTTATATATATGTGCCATTAAGGATGGAAATAGAATATTAACATATTCAATTATTAATGGTGCGTGTAACATTTCGTAGCTCTTTTGTAGGAATTACTGCATAATGACATTCTTCCTATTCTCAACTTAATTTGATAAATGATGATACGTACTATACGTCAAAACAGTGTGAAAATTTTGCTCATTTCTACAAATTTATAAATTAAACTTTAACCTCTTAACAAGTTTATATGCTTTATTGTTATGAATTAATTTACAGAGATAAATTTTAAATATAAGTACAGATAATCATAAAGAACAAATAAGAAATTTTTCATTTTAGTATACTTAATTATCTTGTCCCATTGTTATTTAATTTATCTTATATTCATTTCTATTTTAAACTTTTTTTGACGTTTTACATTATTTAAATCCGTGTATATATTAAACGAGCGCACATTTATAAAATAACTGCGTTGGAACTAATCCAGAATTACGTGATAGTTTAGTGGTTTGTGTAAAAGAAGAAGAAAATAGTAAGAAACTATCGAAAAGCTTCCATCAACAACATTTGTAATGTCATCATTTGAAACCATATACGCCAATGCAGAAGAATATTTCACATATCCTTTTATTTTTATATCAAACCGAATACAATTGTTAGCATTCTTTTATATTTAAAACTTTATTTCCTTATATATAAACATTTTAAAATAATAAATAAAATAAATTAGCATTTCAGAAAGGTTGGTCTAAGTCACGCAAATTAACTTTTACTCCTATTCCATTCTTTGATAATACTAATCATATAATTATCCTTGGAATTTGGGTGTTTATTACATTAAAAATTTTTTTTAAATTTCTTTATTTTTCTTCTAATTGAACATTCCTTCATAAATATTTTAAAATTTCATAACAATTGTTATATTTATGTACGAAGCGGTATATTAAGTTGCAAATAGAAGATTCTTTTCTCTTGTATCTACAAGAGTTTCGTTAATAACTGCAATACATCATCTTGAGAGATTGCATAGAAGACAACTCTAGCAAAATAAGTCCTTTTGAATTTAAAATAGGGTCTCTGCCTTATACGTAAGCTAATAGAAATGGGGAAGTGGCAAATATAATTTCATCAATTTCAATTTTTTCCATTTATGAAAGTATAATTTCATCAATTTCCATTTTTTCCATCAATCGTCATTATGGTAATTGCTTCCAAATCAATATTGGTNGTAAATTATTGAAATTACAAATCTATAAAATCCCACTGTCATCTATTGTCTGTTCTTCCTTAATTTCCAAGAACAGTGTTAGTGAATGTCAAGACCGGATATAGAAAGCATAGGGGCAGGAGCCCTAATAAACTATATACGAACTTCCTGTTGAGACCTGAACTCACGTGATTTCAATTCAAAAATTTTCCCCTGAAAGATGTTAGATAGATGACCGACACGACTCTGTTGTTAAAGGAAAAGTATGATTTACAGGGGCAAGCCACTACTAATTTGAGGTGGAGTGCATATATTTTTAATTAAAATAACGTGTTTTGTCAATGAATTTATTCCATTTGAAGTTTTAAAACGAATTAGCAGTAAAAGTAGGCAAACTACCAATATAGAAGAGATGCTACATGCTAATGAACTTACCGTTTGAAACTATCATCGCAGTCAAGTTATCCTGCAGGAGTGTGACGATGGGATAACTTCCACCTGACAGGCGCTTGACTTACTCGATCCGCAAGCAATGACACCTCCCCCGCCAGCTATTGCTAGGGGGAATGGCCACTCACCTGCCCACTGTTGTTGTTTGCGGTATTCTCCGTTACTTTGTCACTGACCTCTGGAAGCCTCGACGATCCCGCCGAGCGGGACATCGTGACCTCCCTTATGCCTATACTTCAAACTGTACAATGCACTCTAGCGCAAGCAAAGAGGAATACTTTCAGTCAATACAGCCCCAGCCTGGATGGGAGCACTTCTAATCAGTCACGGACTGATCTTCACGTCAGCTGTACATCTCATGAACAGTCGATCGTTTCGTCTGCTGATGCTGCTGGTGATGCTGGGTAAATGTTTCGCCGACTGGAATGGACGAATTACGTGACGTCAAAATCGCGCCCAATCAGATGCCGTGGAGTTAGCCAGAACATCCAGGAATGTCTCCATCCCTTCAACCAGTTAAATGTAGGCCAAGGGCGATGATGTGGCGCCCCTTAGCATCGTAACTTCTATTCTTACCAAAGTCAATACCCGGTTAACAATCGCTAGCGAATACAAATCTTCCTAACATATTATGTTGTCTCGTTAGATTTCCCGCGGTTTATGTCCAGAATAAAGTGTTATCTTCGTGGCTTTTATCCCTACGACATCTGTTCCGAGTAACTTTCGATTTATAGATTTAAATTCCCTTTTTTTATATCCATAAAAGCACTTTATTCAACCGACTAAATCGATGCACTCGGATACGATAAATGTTTTCCTATCCATGAATTTTGTTTATTTATTTTTACATCCGTTTAAATAAATAAATATCCTAAATATATATACACTAACAGAGGATTGATTGTAATTTTTAATAAAATAATTGAGTAAATCAAGAAAATATTCATTTTTCTCTCATATCATTTAAACTAATGCAATAAATTTTGTGGATTTCTCATAGGAAAACCTAGAAAATATGAGGCTGTACTTCGTGTTCAACTGTATAAGAGAACGTATAATTCATAACTTTAAACATTTTTCAAGGGGAAAAAAAGAAAGAAAATCCAATAACTCGTTTTAAATTTAAAACGTGAAAATATTTTATATTTAAATTACTTAAAACTGTCCGAGGAGGCGATAACATTATTTAGATTCTCATTTCTATATTTCGTATAAGAAAAAAAAAATTAAATGCGAGAATAAAATATGCAAATGATTTAAATTAATCTAATAAGCCAATTATTTCGATCTTTATAATATAATAAATATTTTGTGTTTCTTTTTTCCCTACTTCGAAAATACTTAAATGTAATTTTATATATTTTTCTCTCGGCTTCATTTCGTATAAATTAACAATTTTTTCGATATTATCTTGGTTTGGTTAATAGGAAAATGTAGTAAATATAAAAATATGTATCGTATGTAAATTTATACATTGGTTAGTAATTGGTAATTTGCATATTTTTAGTAAAGTTCCCTACCCTTTTATTGATCCTTTCAGGATTAAGGATTTTAAATTAAAAACCTGGTTGTTGGCAATTAATTCTACCGGATGTCTTAAATCTTCTTTTCTCTCGTGATTTCCTGTTTTAAAAATATACTTTAAGAATTAATCACATTTTCAATGTAAATCATTGAATAAGAATCGATTCGAATCCCAAAATAGTGGAAAATACTTGAATCAAAATCGTACGAAATTATTCGGTTTATTTTCATAAATTTCTTATCAAAAATGAAAAATAATCGGATTAAAATTTTTATATAATTTTTATATAAAGTCTGCCTTTAATAATTCTTAAATAATCTTGAATTTTAAAGCATAATTAAAAATTTTAAACTTTTTTTTTAAAGACGTGGACTCTCTTATATCATCGATAATTCATACGGGAATTATATAAATTCATTATATAAAATTTATAACTGATCTATAGGATTTTATTTTTGATTTGAGCAATTGTTTATGGTTGCAGTCAAAACAGCGAATAATTCAAAAATAATATATTAAATTCTATGTAGTGGTTTAATAGTCTGGCCGTTTTCTATTCAATAGAAGTTCACGAAACTTATTTTCTATTTGAAATGATCTTCTCTATAAGAGTTCGGCAATATTCAGTACCGATTTAGATGTTTTCTTGATGTTACACGTTGAATTTTATGCTTCATTTTGTATTTTTATGCACGTCGAATGTGTGTCTTTTCCATGTATTTATCTGTATACCGACATCCCACATTCATTTGTTTCCTCGTTCAGTGGCACGTTATTATATGGGCAGAGAGGGAAATTGCCTGGGACATCCACCAACAGGAGGACCCCAAACTCATTACTATAGTAAGAATATCGAAATTTAAATTTGGCGCTATGAAGACCCTATAACGCCGGTGAGGAGCAGTTATAGAGCTCAGCGCAGAACTTAATAAATCCCTCCAGAGATCGCTTTAAAACAACGGATGAGGACCATGGAATTTTCCCCAAAAATTCCCTCGAAAAAAATTCCTGAAGTCAGCACTGTATAGTACACACGTGGCCCTCTAATTTAAATTTGCCTGGGTCCCAAGAAGCTATAACGAGCCACTGGTCTCGTTATACCTCCGTTACACCATAAAAAAATATATTATAACCAAAATATTAATATTTTAATATATATTTATTACATGATAAATATTTTTAAAATATTCTGAATAAAATTATTTTGAGAAATATTTATAAATTAAATTCTTATGTATGAAATAAATAAATGAAATTTTTTAATTCATACTTTTAGATAAGGTTATAATTCATTTTTCGAAGTTATAATATAAAAGTTATAGGAATATAAAAGCAAAATTGGCTGTTGTTATACTTTTCTCGATAGACGTATAACACTTAAAGGACAATACCTTTATCCTCTACTACCTTCTATCTTTATTGATTAAATTACTCAGTTGAGGAGTCCACTATCTAAACTAAAACCCTAAGCTTTAATTACTAGCACTTCTTTCAACAAAGAATCTTAGAAAAAAAAAAACACAAAATAGAACATCCAGAGTGTCCTCAGACTCTTAAGGAATATAGGAAATTATATCTTGTATTTTCTCAATTTATTGTCTAGCAAATTATTGTTTATAGGCGATCACGTTTACTGCATTCAATCATGGAATGACTGTTATTTAAACACGAAATAAACAATTATTATGTGACGTATATCCTGCCATCACATAACACGTCATCTTCGACCGCGATATGGCTCCTTTCTCATTAAAATTTCACTTTCATCGCCACACTTGTTATTGAAAGAGAAACAATGCCCCCAAGACATTGCCACCAAAAGTAGTATAAGCTATATCATAATTAAGATTTGCTATATTTATGAGATTAATCTTCTTTCTCTTTATTATTTCTATGTCATACTTAAATTCCTGCTATATTTTAAGGTATAATCAAATTACATACAAAAAAGAAATAACTTTCTTTACCGAAAAAGCTTAATTTATACGGCATAATTTTTCTTATACACTTGAAATTCTTGAGTAGAAATTAATTAAAAGCCATTTATAAGTAAATTGTATTAAAACTTATGCTCAACTAATACCAGTAATAGTGGGATCCCCAGTTTTACAGCCGATCAATTTTTCTTTCCAGGTATATTTGTATGTTAATGGAGTCGGTTGAATGCTTCAAACTGAATTATAACGATAAATCGATGTCTAGTGATGGATACGAACTAGTCTCTATTGAACTACATGAATATTTCATAATTTTCAATCAAGTTTAGTACAGTCGTCCGAAAGATTTAACAGAAATAAATGTCTCGAAAACCAGATGATGCTCCATATTTTTAACAATAAGTTTATGATAATGCAACTATCATGGCTTCAATTAATGCAACATGTAGGCCTACTTCTCTTTCACTTTCTCTCTTATTTTAAGTTATAACAGAGTGAAAGTATGTCGATCAATCAAAAAATTACCCCTCTCAAAATTTTTGGACTCGGAGGACCTTGAAGTGTGGAAAAATGGAAAAAAGTTGGGGTGTTTTTTCTGTATGTAGTAATGTTTATGTGTGGAGGGGAGACGATTTTTTCACCCAATTTAAAGCTTAATAATTCCTGTGCCTTTCGTACAAAATTTCTGAAATTTTGCAGGGTGGTTTGAGCATTAGAGAGAAATATTTCTAGAAATTTTCAGGAAAATCGGATCATTAGTTCGAGAGATATGGTTCCATTTACTTAACATCTCCCGAATCAATTTGAAGACTTAAAGGCAGTGGTGACAATTATTAGGGATGAGAACAAATAAAGAATACCGGTAAATTCCAGCAACTATACATTTTTTCATCAGTTATCATCATTATTGATTTAACAAAGCACTTTGATTACCTTCAATTCAACTAGTTAAATGTGTCTATCCATTAAATTTTTATTTGCTTAACTGTTCATCAATGTTATTCATCAGCAATTCATTTGTAATAAGGAGTAATAATGATTCTATTCTTGAAATACTTATTCATAACGATGGCGAGTGTTATCTAGTATTAATGTAGCATTATATGTAAATGATAATTATAGAAAGTAATGAAAACATTAATCAAATGTCTGAAGATGCTAATCACCATTAAAATTCTCCAGATAATCCAATTTATTTCCTGCTTTGGGACACTTAACCAGGAGCAATATCGGATACTTTAATATATTTTATGATCGAGAAAAGTCCATTAAAATTGAGATAAAAATTCGAAAAAAAAATTCAGTTAAGTTATATATAAATATATAATTAATTAATTTGTACAGTTATTTCATCGCCTCATATTAAAATATAAGAGGGGAAAACGTGTTATTATTATATAAAAATTCACAAATTAATAATATAATTCTTTATATTATTCGAAGTAAAACTTTATTTTAAGAGAATCTAATTGAAATTAATGGCCTTTATTAAAAGAGGTCAGCAACAAATTTAATAATTTTGGGTTAAAGTATTTTGCAGCGATACAAGTAGATTAAAGATTGAAAAAAGAAAAAAAAAAAGGAAGAAGGAAATTTAAAAAGAATAAATTAATCTATTAATCACCAGTTAAAGAAGTTAAAACGCTATTAAAAATTGGAACACATTAAAAAATACTTTAAATTAATTTACTAAAAATGAAAATTTTTGAAAAAAATTTAAAGATTTCTGGTAAAATGTAATTGAAAAATTATAAAATTTCTACATTTATAAAATGATATATTTGGAAAATATACACTTTTCCTTATTATTAAATTAAAAATTAATTCAGATAGAAATTAATTTAAGTTTTAAACTAATTACCCCCTTATAAAAAACAAGTTCGAAGAATCAATAATATTAATTAAATATTTTAAATTCAATTTATGTGTCTAAATAAATTTAAAAACATCTTTAAATTATTATTATTATTTTTTTGTTAATACAATTTAACAAACAATTGTTT